AACAAATAGGTAAAAAAAAAGAAAGTAACCTTAAACTACTGTACAAACTAGTTATAAGAAACCTAAAAAAAAAAAAAAAATAAAGAATTAGTTGGCTTGTCACAAGAAAGTAATTCTAAAGACAAAGATAAAACAATTTTTGACTTCCAAGGAAATATTCTGCAACAAATTATATACATTTTTTTTGTACTTTCTACATGTTGCCAACTTTCTCGTGATTCTGTAAAAAAAATAGAATTAAAATTGCAATTGTTGTTTAAATATATGAAAGTACAACAAAATGTTTGATGACCTTTAGATTACAGTCTTCGATGCAAGACAGACCCATGGTAGATATGTGCAAAATTTTAAGATGATGCAAATCACAACTTTCTTAGTTATTTTAACATCAATAAATCTATGACTATAATATTGGTATTGGACCAGATGAAACAGAAACTTCAGCAAAACACAAACAGCTGTAAATTTAATTGTAAAAAATATAAATCAAAATTTAAACAATGGAAATTAGTAGAGTTTATTTCTTTTATTTGCTTTTTTTTTGTGGCTTCTGTCCTCTACCATTCTGCGTCAGTAAAACTACACAAGTGTTAGTAAACCAGTATCAGGTATTTCATGAACGTGAGGTTTGGTCTAGCCAAGGAGTCGGCTACGTGTCACCCTCACCCTTAACGATTCGGTAGGGGTTTCATGTTCATATGACAAAAGGGACATGACACTACAGATCGATGGATGTTCAACGAAGTCCGTGACTCACACTTGTGAAACGGGTCACGGTTAAAGTAATTAAGCAACGCAAGGGGGCCAGCACGATCTACCTACCTAGAGAAAGAGCTGTAACTTATCCTCTCTCTCTTAAAACTCCCCGAGAAGATTGAAACGGTAATGACCCGATCTCCAACGTGCTGATTTCTGCAGGGGAGTAACGAATGAGAAATTCTTAACGTTATGCAGGTAAAAATAATATCAAAAAAGTTAAATAACTACAAAGAATGATTTATAACCCTTAAACCCTTAGACGCTACTCACGAAACACAACGAATACTTTTCACTAAAAATAAAAAAAAGTGCAATCACGTGACTTGTCTTCTCTATCTGCCGATCAGATTACAGGAAGTTGACACGAAAACGCTTAAACAGAAGTGATTTTGATACTTTTACGTCTATGCTGATTCGTGTTCAAAGTTTCATTTCCTACGTAGATTTGATACTTTGTTTTGTTGTTCCCCCCTCTTTTCTTTTAGTGGTTCTTGAGATGTTATTATAAGAGTTAAAACAGAAGCATGTATATTTAATTAAGATAGCTATTTCGATAATAAACTACGAAGAGTAAAAAGAAGAAGTAAAAAAAGAAGCAGCAGCCATACGCCAAAAATCGAAGAATATCGCTAGGACAAGCTAACGCACAACCAAAGCTTGCTGAGCCTATAATTTAATATCTGGGAATAGTGATCTACGAAGACAGCTGACGGGCTACTGCATCAGATAGAGAAAGAAAAAATAAAACAGCGAAGCTCTGATACGACGTCTAAAAAAAAAAAAAAGCTGTCGGATCTGTGTACCCCTAAAAAAAAAAAAAAAGAAGAAGATAAAATATCATGTAAGCTGATATCAATCCAGATTTTATAATTATCTTTTGCTGCCCGCGGGGAATAATGTACACCTGTAACAAGGTCACTGCCTTTAGTTCTCGCACGAGTTCAAGTGTACACAAATAGACAAATACACAATAGTACAATATAACTGAATTCTAACTTGATATTGCGCAGGTCCAGCTTTTGAAAAAACAGCTTTTTAAATGCGAGTTTGATTTCAAGCATTTTAACTATGTGATAACATTATAAAAAGGGAGTGTGTGAGGTAATACTTCAACTGTATTATAACACATTAGTACAATATAACTGAATTCTAACTTGATATTGCGCAGGTCCAGCTTTTTAAATGCGAGTTTGATTTCAAGCATTTTAACTATGTGATAACATTATAAAAAGGGAGTGTGTGAGGTAATACTTCAACTGAAGTCGGTGCTCCCCTCCCCCCAAGCTAGTTTAAAAAAATAAATAAATAAAAATCGGGTTATCAGATTTATTAGTCATTACAACATTTCAATGATACTGTATGGCTGAATGCAATCACGTTCCCCAGAAGTATAGCCAGTTTAGTTTTACTTAGTTCTGAAAACAGGTAGAACGAACAGTGCAATAATTTCATTACATTATAATTCTTTTCTCTCAACTCAACTTGAAAAGTAATTTGGGCTTAGTTAAGAACTATTTCTTATATTTCAATCAATACACAAAACTTTGTATTATCCCATGTAAAGTTTGTAAGCTCCTCTGA